GAGGGTTCTTTACAGTAAGAGCGGTTAAGGTCTGGAACTCACTGCCATCGGCAGTGATTTCAGCCAAGAGTGTAGATTTGTTCAAGAAACGTTTGCACAATTTCTTGAGGGACCGTAATATCCAGGGATACCAGTATCCCTAAGAATGAGATGATGCGTGGACCTATATGGGTTGGACTTGATGGACGTATGTCTTTATTCAACCCCAAATACTATGTAACTATGTACTGATCTTTGGCTTGTTCCTGGAAATCCTTGTCTTCAGTCTGCCCCTAACCTTTGGCTTGTCCCTAGAAATCCTAGTCTTCAGTCTGCCCCTAACCTTTGGCTTGTCCCTAGAAATCCTAGTCTTCAGTCTGCCCCTAACCTTTGGCTTTTCCCTGGAAATCCTAGTCTTCAGTCTGCCCCTAACCTTTGGCTTGCCCCTGGAAATCCTAGTCTTCAGTCTGTCCCTAACCTTTGGCTTGTCACTGGAAATCCTAATCTTCACTCTGCCTCTAACCTTTGGCTTTTCCCTGGAAATCCTAGTCTTCAGTCTGCCCCTAACCTTTGGCTTGCCCCTGGAAATCCTAGTCTTCAGTCTGCACCTAACCTTTGGCTTGTCACTGGAAATCCTAATCTTCACTCTGCCTCTAACCTTTGTCCTGCCCCTGGAAATCCTAGTCTTTACTCTGCCTCTAACCTTTGGCTTTCCCCTGGAAATCCTAATCTTCACTCTGCCTCTAACCTTTGGCTTGCCCCTGGAAATCCTAATCTTCACTCTGCCTCTAACCTTTGTCTTGCCCCTGGAAATCCTAGTCTTTAGCGTGTCCCTGACCTTTGATTCATCACTCATATCTGTGTCTGCAACCTTATCAACCAGCAGTCTGGCCTTATAAAATTTTGTTGGCTGTTAGCTGAGTTGGGTGAACCTGGAGGCCATGACCTGGTGTCAGCATGCACCATAACATCTCTCCTTTAGGAGCTTCGGGGAAGACCAGCTGGCTTATAGATGTCATGCCCTGTGGGATATCATGCTACCTAATCAGCATTGCAGCAGTCTGCCTACTCCTTGAACTTACAGCCGAACCTTACTTCCACTTGCCTCATTTAGCTCCACAGCTCCTCCCCCTGCTAGAACTCCAGCTCTGGGAGTTGTCAGCTTACACTGCTTGCATCCTTTGATCTAGGTGCCCCTGTAGGATCCACATCCTAGATTCCAAATCACATTGGTGAGCCCGGAACACAATATGCTTTATGACAAAGAGAAACTAACTAACTACTGAGTTGTTTGGCTACCAGCATACTACAAAGCACAAAATATGATTTATGAAAGTGTAGTTGAGCGGTAGTTAGGAACTTGATATTATAAAGCAGGACTGTCAAGTTTATAATAATTGACTACAAAACATATCCCATCTTTTGACATACATTACCAAGTGCATAGCAGCCAATTAGACACTGTCTTTTATTTTCTACTACACACTAGTCATACAAAGGTTTTTGTTTTTATTGTCTGATGTAGCTGCTAGTAGCTTGGGTGAAGTTCATGCTATAGGTACAATCAGAGTACAGTTTTTAGCAAACATAAAAAAATTTAAAGCTGAACTCAAGGCAGATATAAAAACATAAAATATTGCAACTCTGTAATAATTTTTAAACAAAACATATAGGGTCTCCAGAACATAAGCCACCGCACCCCTATATCAGATTATACCAACAATGAAAAAGAAAGAACAGGCTTTTTGGGAAGGCAATAGGACAATAAGCACTTTCAACATATTTAAAATGTATAGAATTTTATTAAGACATATTAAAATTCTTATTAAACAACCACGATAATGTTGTATGTGTTCAGGACCATCAAACTTCTAGGTTTCACATTTTGTACCCACGGATCTAATACATAGAAAAATTCAATGAAAGTCCCATACATTTATAATTGCCAGGGTGCATCAGTCAGCAACCATAGTGCAGCTTCTGCCCGGACCACTGCACATATATGGCGTGTTGCCGCTAGTATTGCGCATGCGCGAAAAGGTGCACTTACGCACGCAAGTAACGTGCACATGCATGTCCTTGGCGTCAGGCGGGCTATTTAAAGATGGCCCCTGCATCTGCACTTTGCTGAGAGATCTTCAGCTGTAACCTGCATCTTTGTTTCTGCTCCTGATACCTGTTTTGACCCAGCTTGATTCTTGACTATGCCTGCTTGCTGCCTGCCTTGTGACCTCGGCTCATCCCTGACCATTCTCCTGTCTCCTGATCCGGTCCCATTCTGCTTGCTAGTGTATGACCCAGCCTGTTCCTGACTCTGCTTCTGTCACCTGCTTTTGTACCACGCTGACTTCACGTTACCGATCTGGCTTGTTCCTGACTACACT